CTGTCAATGTGTGGAGTAATGAAAGCTCCGTGACATTGGTTCCCTTATTTTTCGCAATTCTTTTCTTGTACAGTGTAATTAAGTTTATTCTACTTGAAGTAAGGAGAGTAAATTAAATGATTGGTTCGTGGTCAATACTGCGCATTCTAACTCTGGTGTTTGTGACTTGGAAAGGAACTCTGAATATATCGTAAAAATACTCGCTAATCATCCGTAAGAATTTTACGTTTCAGAATTGTTTTTAGCTTGTATTTGAAAGGTTAACGTCAGATAGATGATACTGTAAATATGATGATACTCTAAACCTCTCAAAACCAAGTGTTCGCTATCAGTTTCAAGCTCGTCTTCAACTTACCATCGTCTCTGGAGTACACTGTAATGAGAAAAGCCTTACCCTAGCTCATGGCCTTATATTTGGAGGTTGCAGAAGGAAATACAGTCGAACCTCTATTAAGCGGCTACTTATTAAACGGCCACCTGGACCCCTATTAGGCTTCCAGTAATCCAAGTCCCGATGAGAGCTTTTCTATTGTTTTTACCTCTATTATGGGGCCACTGTCCATCTCCCCAAAGGGGGTCATTTAATAGGGGTCAATGTGAAGAACAGTAAGCTGAGCTGCAAAAGTTTACACTTGGGAGGCGACTTCTGCTTGTTTTCATGGTCTTGCCTTGACTAACAATCCCCCCTGGACTCCAAAGATATTTGTGGGGTGGGGTGGGGCAGGTAGAAAAAAGAGGTAAGATGGGTGCAATATTTTCATTCTCAAAGAACCACACATGAATGAAATGTCTTGGAGCTAACATTTATTTCATTTAACAACAATACTATGCTAGCTAAAGTTAAGTACTCTGTAAAAAGTTTATCAAACATATAATTGGTTCATAATTTATAACTGGCTACTATTTTTGTTCCAACTGAATTTTGTGGTTTGAATTTGTAATTGAGGGATTTCTTTGATTTTAACCCTGAATTAAGTGATGAAATCTGAAATGTTTAAACAATTTCTCAATTTATTTCTTGTAAGTTAAATAAATAAGGGAGTTTCAAGACATTTCTAAGTCTGCTAAATTTAAGTTTTCTCTAAAAATATTAGTCTTGTAAATGAGACTGTTTCTCTTCACACTCATGTTTCATAAACCACATTTTTACACCAAAATAAAATGAAAGTTGCAATTTTTTCCCTGTGACTTGCCAACAATGGGGAAAAGAACGTAATTCAGACCAAAACTACAAACACAATGTCAAAAGTAACCAGAAAGAAAATGAAGAGAAAAAATTTCTTACCATGAAATTCTTGTCTTTAGGCTATAAACCTCCCTGTAAATGAACTGAACTTGTAACAAAACCAACAAATGTTTTTTCCTCACCAAAACCTGCAGCCCACGTAAAATGATTTTCACACACTGCTGTCATTCCAGTTGACAAATTTTTTTCACTGCAATGTGGTACACTCGTGTGATGAAGCCACTTAATGTTAATTTAAGTTATATATGTCATAGCGATACATCCAAAAGATAGTTGACTTGTCTATAGGTGTGATCATTTCTATCGTGTGCAACTGACGCGAAGAATGATAATATTGACCAGCGAGTACAAATCAAAACATTACATATCAACCCTCTGCCCTCAGATCTTAATTAATTGGAACTATCTTGTAAATATTAACCTCATTTACTGAAACTAATAATAATATTAGTGATGCCATTCATCTGGTTGCATCTCTCAAATCAGAGTACTGAAGATGCTTTTAGTTGTCTTTCTTTTCTTCTCCTGTTTGGTTCTCATCTTTCTCCAACTGAGCCTACATATCCGGAAAAAATAAAAAGAACAAATAAAATATGTTATTAGTAAGGCCTGTCTGGGTAAAATATGTAATGTGATCATGACAAATTTGACACCTAAGTTTCCCAATTGAAGTTAAATTCTCATTTGCTAGAATTCAAGTATGGGTTCCTAAAGTGTTTGAAGATTTGCAAGACACTGGGAAGGGAGGGAGGGGAGGGTAGTCCTCCAGATAACAACCTTTGGGCAGGGGTCTTCATATAATAAACCCTTCCCTCTCCACCCACCTGTGCTTTGGAGTGCTCCTCCAACAGCCTGTCATATTCCCGTGTCAGTCCAGCAGCTTGTTCTTTCAAGGCAGCCAAATCCTTCTTTGTTTTCTCAAGCTCTGTGGGTGAAATAATGTCAGATATGATGAGAAAAAATAAACAAAATAAATTTAATTCAATTTTTTTTAAAATTTAAATTGTTTAAATGTAAACAATTCTGGAGCACAGTTGTTACACTAGTCAAAAGTGTTACGAGTATCGTTGTAGAGCAGGGTTGTTTCCAGACAGAACTCAGGATCGCTGGTAACAGCAACAAACTAATTTATTTCCATAAGATAACTTTGCGAATTTACAGCACTAAGCTTCTTCAAATTTGAATCAATCTCTTTTACAGCAGAACCTCTCGCTCTAATATACATGAGGCTTAAAGTTCTAGAAACTTCTATTTGGAACTAAATTAAGTAGTTTGACACATTTTCTAATCTGAGAAATTACATAAGGATTAGAATGTTCTGGAATGTTCCTATACAAATTGGTCACGGCGAATGACTTCCGGTTCTAGATTGTTCTAGAAATTGGCTTAGACAATTTTTCGTAACAAAAAGTAATGCTACCCCACATTTATTTCAGGTCAAAACAAGTTACCCCCCTCCCCATCGCCCCAGCAAGGTGGCCCAAAAATTCAACAGGCCCCAGTAGTTGGAAGGCTGGATAACACTATCCACCGGATAAATCGCTATCCAGTGGACGAGTACTAATAAAACAAACCATGCTATCTGCTGGACAGTGATTTATGCGGTAAATAGCATTATCCACCTTTCGAACAACCTGGGCTTGTACTATATGGGTGGAGAGAGCAACTGTGAAATTAAAGTGTCTTTCTAAGGACTGTAACATAGCAATACCATGCCTACAAATGTTCAAACCTGAAATTTGGGCAATTTGCTTCATGCAACTCATTCAATACCATTGAAGTACTGACAAGATCATAGTTGGCCATTCAAAGGTTTGGTTTCCAAAATTAATATTTAATTGAAAATAATTAAACAACATGTACACCCTGACATAATGTTTACTTTATAACACTTATTAATAAGTTAAAGACATAACACACAGCTCTAAAACAGTACGATCCCTGTGTTAAAAATATCATACTTAGCAGCACCTTCAGTTCGTTCTGCGAGCTTTTTGGATTTCTCCTCCAAAGCTTCCCTCATATCTTTCAAGTCTTGGTTAAGTTTATCGTCATCTTGCGTCACTTCCTCTGCTTTGCCTCCTGCGTCTTCTACAGCCTATTTTAACAAAAAAAGCTTTTGTTAATAACACTGAGGCAAACAGCACATCTAAAGTGTCATGACAGTTAAAAGTGTTTTGAGAGAATTTTACTCTCAGAGAAGAACTCTACTGTGTGACCATTCAAATTAAAGCTATTGAGCAGTNTAATCTGAGAAATTACATAAGGATTAGAATGTTCTAGAATGTTCTTATACAAATTGGTCACGGCTGAATGACTTCCGGTTCTAGATTGTTCTAGAAATAGACTTAGAAAATTTTTCGTAACAAAAAGTAATGCTACCCCACATTTATTTCAGGTCAAAACAAGTTACCCCCTCCCCATCGCCCCAGCAAGGTGGCCCAAAAATTCAACAGGCCCCAATAGTTGGAAGGCTGGATAACACTATCCACTGGATAAATCACTATCCAGTGGACAAGTACTAATAAAACAAACCATGCTATCTGATGGTCAGTGATTTATGTGGTAAATAGCGTTATCCACCTTTCAAACAACCTGGGCTTGTACTATATGGGTGGAGAGAGCAACTGTGAAATTAAAGTGTCTTTCTAAGGACTGTAACATAGCAATACCATGCCTACAAATGTTCAAACCTGAAATTTGGGCAATTTGCTTCATGCAACTCATTCAATACCATTGAAGTACTGACAAGATCATAGTTGGCCATTCAAAGGTTTGGTTTCCAAAATTAATATTTAATTGAAAATAATTAAACAACATGTACACCCTGACATAATGTTTACTTTATAACACTTATTAATAAGTTAAAGACATAACACACAGCTCTAAAACAGTACGATCCCTGTGTTAAAAATATCATACTTAGCAGCACCTTCAGTTCGTTCTGCGAGCTTTTTGGATTTCTCCTCCAAAGCTTCCCTCATATCTTTCAAGTCTTGGTTAAGTTTATCGTCATCTTGCGTCACTTCCTCTGCTTTGCCTCCTGCGTCTTCTACAGCCTATTTTAACAAAAAAAGCTTTTGTTAATAACACTGAGGCAAACAGCACATCTAAAGTGTCATGACAGTTAAAAGTGTTTTGAGAGAATTTTACTCTCAGAGAAGAACTCTACTGTGTGACCATTCAAATTAAAGCTATTGAGAAGTACTTTCATGTGGTACTGTATATTGTGTCATGCAAGGTGATTCTTACTTTTAAAGTTTGTGGAGGAGGGCCTAAATATATAAAAAAAATCTTGACTTAAAGCATTTGAGCAGGAATTTCATGTGATACTCTTTACTTTTCAATACCAAATTTGGGATTTTGAATAGGCCCTTTGCACGATCTGGTCACATGGTATGGAATTAATTACACTGGGACGCAAGTTACACAGTGGGACTTCCACAACAAAGGAACTCGTACCAGTCCAGCCAGACTTTCCTTTGTTTTGAAAGTCCCACTGTGTAGCTTGCGTCCCAGCATAATTAATTCCACACCATGTGACCGGATTGTGCAAAACTTACCTTTGCAAGGCCCTTGTGTGCACAAGAACTCATCAAAATAAGATGCAATATGCTTGTAACAAATTTGATGAGTTTAGCCCAAGACCTATCTTACATACCTTTCAACATTACCTTTTTAAGTTTGTCGTTTTCATCCATCAGTCTTTTGCATTCTTCTGAGACATTCTGAGCCTGACGAAGACTGGCCTCATTAGAAGCCTCAAGAACTGAATATCGGGAAAGAAGCCTTACAACACGGCGTAACACTCTGCCAAGGAAAATGATTGCAACCATTTTAATTATGTTTGACCAAATTTCCAAACACCAAGAAGAGAATTAAAAATATGATGCATAGCAAAGAAATTTTGACAATCTTCAAGCTGTAAAACAATGTCTTGAGCATTTGATATATCTTCTAAATCGAAACTAAAACCAAGGAGACAACGGAGAAACAAAATCATAAAAATCTATGCTAATTAAGATCAGACATCCAAACACCATCAAGGTCATGATTTCCTTTGATTAAATTTGGTGAATTAATAATGAGTTTTAGGAGACAATGGAGATGAATTTAAAGTGCATATGACATGAATTTTCCCCCCCTTGTTTCTTAGCCTGGTATGTATAAAAAACGATTTTAACCTTCAAAACAAGATATTAACTTACATTAAAAGAAACAAAGAAAATCCAGAGATGTAAAGGTTTCTCTGAGCACGGAATAGCTTCATTTGGACCATCATTTCAGCTTGTGGGTTGTTGTGTAAGTCTACTTGAGGTGTGGTATCAACTTTGCTGTACCTTCTGGCTTCTCGAATAGAATCTACAAATTAATAGTAAGTAACAGCAATTGCTCTGAGTGAAGTCCAATTCAGGGAGTAATCGGGCAAGTTATTTCAAAATATTTGGACAAGTGCACAGCAGAGGGTTAGCAAACTGTAAATTTGATACGACATATGGAGCCATACGATTTATCAAATTGAACATATGGAATTACATAGAGCAGTTTCACACCATAACAATGAAAGGATAGCCATGTTGGAGTACCAAACCAATTCTGTGGGAGTTAAGCTCTTTTTTACCCAGCATGACTTTCTTATGTTCCAATAAATTTGCATAGCTACAGACCTCATGAGTGAAAATGATCTATATGAAGCCACGGCTTTCAAATATTTTAGGGAAATTCATAAAACCAGTTTTAGCCTAAGAAACTGAAGCATATTATACTCATTCAACATTAATTACTTTTAGTAGTTTTTTCTCTGTGAATCGCTGATGAGTTTGATCAAACAAGGAAATTATATAATTAATATAATTTCCTTGTTTGATTATTTTTGGTACCAGCCTGATGGTCCTATACCCAGGGGAACTCATACATGGGAACGGAATTGGCACTTTCAAACTTTGTATTATAGGCATATTTCAGGAAACACGGATCATATTATCATACATGGTGAAAACATCTTTGCACATGTATGCAACTTTTCCAAAATTGGATTGCATCAGCTTAATAATTTCTACAAACATTCCTACCAATGCTCATCCTTTCTATAATTAGCAACTGATGACTCACCCTAAAGTTGAAATTGAAATTGAAAGTAAACATTTTTAAAAATAAAAGTTGAATAGAATCTGCACACCAATGCTTTGAGAAAATGGAACCCAACCCTTCTTTTTTTAGTTATTTTCTTCTTTGGTTTTCGACGATAAAAATTATCGATCCTACGAGTTTCACACAGCTCGTGGCCATTGTAACAAAATATTCCGGAAGCGATAAACAGATAAATTAATTTTACGAAGTAGATTTCGAAACAAAGTGAGATTAAATCTTGAATTCCTTCATAAAATTTCTAGAGATTACTTAACCATACTAAATATATGCGACAGGATAATACTGTTGGAAAATTTACTTGCACCTCAATTTTTACGCTACTAAACCAGTACTAGCCTAGGAGGGATGTCAAACATAGTCAAACACAACTATAGCTTTAGTTTTTATACCAGCCAGAAGAAGTGCCATCACAATTACAACCACGTTGAAATAGAAATTTCCATATTCGAACAGAGTGGCCACGATCCTTGAGTTAAAAATTGTGTTCCATCTGAAAAGCAAAATTTAAAACGATTATTAAATGGTCATCCATGTGTTTTGCAGGTTTTGCAAACGATCGAAGTCCAAGCGCTCGATCTGACAGCAAGCCCCTGTTTTCTAGATCCGCTATTTGCAAGTATTTACCTTTTAGCAGAAATAAACGGTAAACAGAACAACAACAGTACACCAATCTCGGCATACAGAAAGCCGGCTGCAAGAGTCCATTGAACAGTCATTGTAATAAACTGTTTTTCCACGCTCGTTTCTTACGATCTTTGAACAACTGTATGACTGTAAGGTTGACTCAGCCTTAAGGGTAACCAAGCCTTCCAGTAGCCCGGAAGTTTCGGGAGCTTCGGAAATCCCGAGTCGAACCCGAACGTTCTCGACTTCCTTATCGGGAATTTGCCGAATTTCTGCCCTGGGGGCTCCTGAGGCTGTTGACAGACTTTTCGTGTGAAGTCACGAGCGCGTTTAAGCTTAAAAGAAGTGTTCCTTTTCGGCATCTTCCATCATGTCGCTGTTGTACCGTTTACTTCTTTGCTCATACATTTGCTTGTGCGTCTGTTCTGCTCATCAGACATTTAATGAAGTCCCAAACTCAGTATGGCCCGTTCCCGCCTCCATTTCTGTATCGGGGCCACCTCTTCCCATCTCTCCAACTTTCGTTTTCAAGACTACCTCAACCTCAGGCGTTCTCAAACGAGGAATAACACGATACCTGGAAATAATACTGCAGCAAGTTGGAGATAGCAAGATGGCACATCTTCGAGGAAGCAGTGAAAGTTTGAATGAGCTTGTTTTGGAAGTCCGCAGCGACAATGAAGGTCTGCATGTGGACACATCGTACTGGTATATGTTGAAAGTAAGCGACGGTCAGGGGCACATTGAGGCCAAAACACCGTATGGTGCATTGTAAGTGCATGCCTTAAAGTTTATATTCTTTGTTATACATAATAACACCACCTGAGACATGATGAGGCAGAGGAGGGGGTGGGGTGGGGAGAGTGGACAAGGTGCAAGGGGCACCCTGTCAGTCCAGTATTGGAACTGTTTCTGCCAAGGGGCTGGACATACCATTTAGAGTGTAATTTTTTAAGTTGCACCATAGCCTTCTTGGTCACCTTTGAAGCCGTTGTTAGGGCTCCTTTGAAGCCATTATTAGGTCATTACTGAAGCATTGCGTGTCAACCCTAATAACAGCTGTGAAGGAGAATACTACCCAGCCAACACTGACTATTAAGAGAAATGGGAAATGAGCTTTTTGGAGGATCACTTGTGCCATGGGGGGTGGAGGGGGGTTATAATTACCTAGATATAATATATTTATTGTTAGAGAGGTCTCTATATTGACAGGAGTCCATCACCTGGGTGATGGGCTCCTGACAGTGAAATGTATAATCTGGGGACTTTGTTGGGGGGCAGNTGTGAAGGAGAATACTACCCAGCCAACACTGACTATTAAGAGAAATGGGAAATGAGCTTTTTGGAGGATCACTTGTGCCATGGGGGGTGGAGGGGGGTTATAATTACTTAGATATAATATATTTATTGTTAGGGAGGTCTCTATATTGACAGGAGCCCATCACCTGGGTGATGGGCTCCTGACAGTGAAATGTATAATCTGGGGACTTTGTTGGGGGGCAGGGGGTGGGGAGAAATTTTGTGTGACTTTTTGAGTGGAAATTGTGGAATGCTCACAGACTGTAAGTTTTTGTTTTGCAGATATGGAATGGAAACATTTACTCAACTAATTGAGAATGGCAGTTTAATAAATAACATAGTGAATATTGATGATGAACCATGCTTTGTACACAGAGGTCTAATGTTAGATGCTGGGTAAGCATTATAAAAATTTAATTACATAGTTACTTAATTAATTAAGGGTTGGGGTCTAGATCTATTAGATGAAGATGACTCGGTATACCTGAGTTGAGTTGAGTTGATAACTTTATTTATACACGGTAAAAATTCCTTCAGCACAGTTTAAAAGTATACTATCTCAGTCTGCCTAACTAAGCTAACCAATAATTAATGTAGTATTATAATAATGAAAACCTATCATATTACTAGCTGTTTTTCAAGGATGCCATATCTCATTCAAAGCTGTAATAACGAAATTTACCTTTAAATTCACTTAAGGAACTGTAGATCGGAGTTCATGAGAAAGGATGTTCCACAACATAGCACCCCTGTAGGAAAAACTTCTCTTTAAATAATTGGTGTAGGGCTGTGGAAGAGCTAATTTATTACCTTGGATGCTGGAGAGGTATGTTGGAAGAGGAGCAACAGGCAATGAGCAACAGGTATTAAAAAGAAGAAGAATGGAGAGGGGCAATACATGTACAATGTATATCCCTTTAAACATCACTTCACTTGGAGTAGAAATAATGTTTAAT